CCTTAGCTCCTGAGGGCTGCATATGGCTCTCAACAGGCCTCAGGAGGCAGTTTCCTGCTCTTACTCAAGCATCCCTAGCCTCTAGATGCCAGGCAGCTCAACATAAAAATCTCAACACATGCCAAAGGCAGTGGGCATTCCTTGACATACTCTGTGGCTCTGGTCACTATGCCTGACTCTCTGCCAGCTAGGGGGAAGAGTCACATTGGGGTAAGTTTGTCTTCATATATCCCAGGTCACAGTCAGGCACCAGCTTAATAAAATGCTTGGAGAGGTTGGGCTGACCCAGAGCTTCCAGCTTCCCCAGGATCTCCATCATGTCTGGATGAGACTGATCCAGTCTCCATTATGGAAAATGCAGGGGACTTCTGAGCCCCAAATCCCTTCATTAGGAAGGGCTAGAGTGCAATACTGGAAGACCAATGGAGAGAAAGAATAAAAAAAAATTAATGGAAAGAAAAGGGAAGAGGAGAAACATGAAGCAAAGAAAGCAGGAAGGGAAGGAGGGGAAAAGATCAAAATGAAGGGACAGAGGGAAGAATGCCATTCAGTCATTTCTGGTGTCAGGAAACTCTGGGTAGAGAGGAAGGCCCATGTAGGGTAAAATGGAAAGAGATTGACTCCTCAGATTGATACTCAACATTAGAGGCATTTGAAGCCCTTGCCTAAAACCAGTCCCTTACAGCTACTACCTATTTCTAGAAGAATCTTGCTAAGGGTAAACTTCACTGGTTCCAAGAGGCTTCAAGCACTTCACAATGCATTAGCTCCATCAGCCTCCAATGGGCCTGTGAGATAGGGGAACCACAGGGTGGAGTTATCCAAGCTGGCAACCTCACTGGGGTAAGAACACAAGCTTGCCTAGAAACAACGCCCCCCCCCCGGGGGGGGGGGAAGTCCCCTGCACTGAAACAGCCTGTAGAAGTCACCTGGGCCCTCAAGGTACGGCTGCACTCAAGGAATGAGTCTCAGTGTCTGCCTCAGAAGGCTGCTTAGACAGAAGGAAGCTTATCAACCCTGTGGGCTGGAAACCATTGCCATTGCCAACAGACCTACGCTATGCACTGATTTTGGGCCCCACAAAAATGTGCTACATTTTTAAAGCACCACAGAGGAAAAATGATTTGGCACAGACGCCAGGAGAATAGAGCTGGGGCGGGTAGAGATGGTATCAACAAAGTCTTTTACCTCATCCTTGATTAAAGAACAAGTCACCTCTGCCCAACATCTTCCCAAGCCTCACTGAAAGCAGATCAGCACCTTGCCATGGCAGAGCAAACCCCAGGTGGACTTTAGACTCCAGGTCACGGGCTCCCACACTAAGAAAATTTTTAAGAGACACTTCGGGAACTTCTCCCTGTACGGGCACCATCATTAGGAGAAATCACAATCTAAAGTTCAAGTTCAACGCACCTATTTACAAAAAAGGAAATATCCTAAAACTGGAAAGCCAGACAGCACAGTGCCAAGGAGGTGGTGCTCATGGTTTGAACTACCCTATGGGTTTATCAGTCTCACAAAGAGGAATCTTGAGCTCGCTGTGCCAGTCTGGAACAGCCAGGGAGAGGCCCTGGGCTCCATGGGGGAAGAGGACATCGGTTTTCCCCACAACAGAGTTCTCCAAGGCTACATGTGGGCTTGTGCCAGTGGGGACTGATTTTAGCACAGCTGGTACACATTAGAAACAAGATGGCAGAGTTAAAGTGGGCCCCTTGGTTGGTCTGGAAGAAGGAGCTCTGCCACCCAGCCCCTTTCCCTCCTCCTTCCCATCCCCTGTCCTCCTACCAGGTTGACCTATACATAGACTTCATCCTGATCAGGAGCATAGAGGTGGGTGTTGGAGGAAGGCTGTGCCAAGGTCTGTCCAATTGATTTCTTTTGGAGGGCTTCAGATGGTCCATGTGATATTTTCATTTATGGTTCACTATTTGTTATTATTTGTATTTTGTTCCTAGATCAACCTTTGTTTCTGTCCTCATAATATAAGTGAGAACAGTAAGCATGGAACTGTGGAGAAAGGGGAAACCACCGGGCTAGCTTGACCCCCTCATCTCTGTGGCCTAGGTCCCCAGATACACAGGGGTTCCTAGACAGCCCCATAGCCGCCAGGATGAGTCTGTGGACATTCTGGTCACAATCAACACCATGAGCTGTTTCCTTTGGCATAAGAGAAGCCGGTCCCTAAAGATAGGGCAGGACAGTGGGGACTGGGCAGTGGTAGGGGTGGGGTCTGGGAGACCCGGGCGTTCAGGTCTGTAGCTTTTCCCAGGGGGATCATACACTTGTCCTATGGCCCCCACCCCAACACACACACACACACACACACACACACACACACACACACACACCAACTGTCTCTACCAACTGACTTCCTACAAATCCGTGGTTGGGGAATTATTTGGCAACAAGGAGGCTAAGGCTGTTTTGTGGTGGCACAGTCTTTCAGAAGTCCAAAAGGAAGCGGGCTGCCTCTGGAAGAGGCTTCTATACAGGCCAGGGCCTGTGCTCAGCTATTTATCTGCACTGGGGCTGGCTGCCACAATCTCTTCATACTTTGGGGGAGGGTCACTGTAAGAGACACTGGCCTCCTCACTGCTGCCCTCCTGGGGTGCAGTCACCTCCTCATAGGAGGGGGGCGGGGTAGCGCTGGACAGTCTGGAGAGAGAGAGCTCAGGGAGGTAGAGGGTGCTCTCCAGTCGGACAGTGGTTCTACTTCCCCGGCTGGACCCCAGGACTATCTGTGGATTATTCCCTGCCTCTCGGTGCCCAGAGGACTCTCCCTGGCTATGCATAGTGCCCCTGTATACCATGACTCGGGGGAGGTTGTGTCCGGTGCGACTGGCTAGGTACCGGTTCTGAGCATAGGAGGGGTGGTGACGAGTTGCTTTCTGCAGCTGGCACCTCCAGATGATGAACAAGGCAATGACAATCAGCAAGACTACCCCCAGAAGGGGCACCACCACATACATGGCGTCTGAGCTCTGCGAGGGATCTCGGACTGAGTACACTGCATTTGGGTATCCCTTCCAAAACTCCATCTGCAAAAGAAGAAGGGCCACTCACTCCTGTGGAAGACAGACACAACAAGGAATTGCTCACCTAACATTCATGCCCGGGACATCTGAGACCTCCAGCAAATCACATATTAAGGACAGGCTTGTGGTTCCTTCTCCACCCTAAGTTGCCTTACTGGCCTGAGAGAGCTCTCAGAGAGTCTGGGGAATTCACTGAGGATGAAAGGCAAAGTACTCAGATGAGGAAGTTCACACAAATAATGCAACAAACCTAGAGGGACACCCCAATGTTGCTTTGGAGGCTCCAACAAGTAGGATGCAGCCTGGGTGGTGTTCTTCCCTTGTTTTAGACCTGTTCCTATTATTCCCAAGATTGTACCTCCTCCCAGAACCCAACAGCAGGGCAGTACGTGCCGTTTTCTCTTTGTTCTCAAATACTTCCTTGACCTCTTCATAGCTGCAGATCTCTTCCATGCACTCCCGCTCAATGGTGCCCTGACGCAGCTCCTCCAGGAACTCATTGGCACGAGGGAAGCGTTTCAGGACTGCATGGGCATTCTTGGCTTCCAGAAACACTGAAGAGAGAACTACAGTGAAGCAATTCAGTCCCTACAAACAAGACTGTACAATTATGAAGGGAAACAGGACAATTCCAGCAGACCTAAAGCCAGGCCTCCAACCAAAGGCCAGGCCTGACCTATTGCAGTGAAGATAGGAGGGCTGACTTCCTACGATGCTGTGATGCTGTGCTCTGCAGCAGGACCTCAGGATCCCAATAGGGCCCAGATCCATTGCCATAACAAGGAAAATGAGACACAATGGAGAAGGAACTTCAGGTGGCACAGGAAAAAGGACCAGACTATGTATCTTAGTCTTGGGTAAGAAAACATCTAGTAGCTTCTGCATTTGTCTTAAAAGAGGAAAGACAGACAGAGCCCTTATCGTGAGAATTGGTTCCTCTTCCAGGCTGCCACTGGTGGGAGTAAAATCAGGCGAGAGCTGTGGCTTTGAGAACGAAAGCAATGACCAGTGGTGAGATTGCTTACTCCTCACATGAGGTGATACCCCTCTATGCCCAAGTTGATAGGTCTGGCAGGCAGGCCCTCTCCCCCAAGATCCACAAAGTGTTGTATTAGTATAATTCAGAGTGACCCAAAGAGAGAAAAGCTGAAAAGATGAATATGTTGCTTTTGCATGAGCCTGTCCAAATCAGGTAGTTCCAAAAATACTCACCAGCCATGACGCTCCCTCAGCTCCAGTGACTTACTTGCCTGGCACAGAAGAAAAGAAAGTTGTGGTGAAATCCTCTGAGTCTAGAATGTGATCTTCCACCAACCTGACTAAAAAGTCAAAGCAGCATCCCATGAGTTATAATTCTCTCGTGCAGTTAGTCAACTCCTGCTGCTTCTCTTCTGTCCTCAAAGAGCTCCAGAATTCCCCCAAACCAAGCAGAGGCTTGTTTTCTCTCTCTCCCTTCCTTCCTTCCTTCCTTCCTTCCTTCCTTCCTTCCTTCCTTCCTCCCTCCCTCTCTCTCTCTCTCTCTCTCTCTCTCTCTCTCTCTCTCTCTCTCTCTCACACACACACACACACACAGAGTCTTCTGTGAGTCTCAAAGACCTAAGGGTTAACCTTTTTTTCAAATGGAAAGCATTTCTGGGCTAACACTCCCTATTCCTCATACCTTCAAAGAATCTTTGTCCCTTTGGAATAGAAAAGAACCCAGAGACAGCTGAGAAATCAAGTACAGAGATGGGGTAAGGTAGAAGCAAGGTTAAGCAAATTGACAGAGACAAGACCTGGAATTGAATTTGATGGTGAAGATGAGTCCGAAATACCTCTAAAGATGAACATGTTCCTTAAATCCCAAACTTAATGTATCAACAACACCCATCTCAAATGTCCCAGCCTAGCTGATGCTGGCCTACAGTAATCTGTAGATACCTGTTGTGCAGGGTCAGACCTTCCATGTACAACACAGACATAGTCTTACAAGCCCTGGCCCAAACCTTTGGGCCCAAACTCAGAGAATCTTCTCAGCTCATCTTTCCCAGAAAGAGAGGCAAGATAAGATGTTCGGACTTCTCTGGAGCCAGGCACATCTTTTCTCTTTGCATTAAAGACTACTGCAACACAGAACCTTGGTAAACACATATTTAAAAGATCAGCATAAAGACACAGGTCTGGAGGTATAGCTTCTTAATACAACAATGTCTAAGGTTTGATCTTCAAGACCACAACAAACAATCAAATAAATACAGTACAATAAATCTGTGATGGTAACGTGGAGGAGAGACCTCTATCTAGAAGCACTGTCGTACTGCCTTTCTCTATTAACACAGCCCTACTTGTACCCATATTATGGAGCCCTACCTAAGCCATTAACATCTGGGAGCAATTACCCGTCAGCTCCCTTCCCCAAGCAGAAGCTCATGTTTTATGACTAATGGGATGTAAGACACATGAGCTTTGTAACCCATTATGCTACCCTTTTTGCTTAGCCTGCCAGGAAGTTCAGTGTTAACACTGATGGCCAGATACAAGTGCTCTGAAAGCCCAGCTGTTGTACACATATGCTTTTCCCCCCACAGCTTGGTATGGTCTTCTATTTATTCTTCCAGAGTAGTATTCTTATTGTGTATTTAAAATATAGCTTCTAGTGTGTTTGGAAAACAAAAAGGATAAGAATCATGAATAAATTTTGAATGATGGGGAAAGTAACCAATCTAAGAACATATTGAAGAGTACTATCACTGCGTCAAGGGATTTTCTCTTTCGAACTCATGAGAAACTACCCAGTTATCATTACTTCACTGAAATACCTCAGTTTTCACAATGACAAAGCCTGGACTCATTATGATCCATGAGATCCATATGATGAGGGTGCAGAGAGAATTGGAATAGGAAACAGGGTGTTTTGGTTAAAGAAAAATAAAGCTGCCACATCACAGTTTGAAAAGAATGAGCAAAGCTTTCGCTAATAAGAAAACAAATACATCCCATTGCTTACTGAAGTGAACTGTAGAGTTTTCAAAAAAAAATTACATGGAAAAAATTATATAATAGCTTGACGTATAGCTGTCTTTGGTCCCAACCAAACACATAGACTTCCGTGCACTCATACACACATACATCATAGCCCCAAGTTTGTGTTATCCTGGCCTGGTAAAGCCATTAGTTCATTTCTGAGCCTCAAAGAAGCCAGGATCTCTCCCAGACAATTCACATGGCATCGCCTCCCACCCCATTAGCAATTCTGTAGTCACCATCACTGCTGCTGCTACTGCTGCAGCTTCCATGAGGGCTTCTCCCCATCCCTCCCCAAAATGTAGCGCCTGCTTTTTCCCCTATAAATACACCAATAGGCAGTTACTATGGCAACAGTGAGGAAGCATGAGGGCTCCATGACCGAGAATGCAGCTGCAGTCATGCATGTATATATCCCTCCAGCCCCTGGTGAATACTGTAAGCTGACTGTAGGCTGAAGGGATTTTTAACCTGCTCCCCACGGGAACACAGCTGAATCCTGACATTCTAGAAAGGAAGGAAGGCCACCACAAAGACCTTCCTTAACCCCACCCCAGGCTGAGGCCTCTGAATCTTAGCTCTCTGGGCCACAGCTCCCAAAGTACCTCCCATAGGGACTAGTGGCCCGCTTGAGTACCTGGTGTCCCCAGACCTGTGGCCTCCCAAAACACTTCTCCAAATTCTAGCTCCTATGATTTCCATTGCTCAGAACAACTCGCCAGGAAAGGGTTCTGTGATTTCCAAATCTTGTGATTTATCAAATCCACCCAGTGACACGGCAACTCCCAAATTGGGCTCAAACTCAAACTCTGGGGTCTCTTGCCCCCTTCCACTCATGCCGGCCATGAAAGTGCCTGGCTTCGCCCACCTTCGCTAGACACCAGCGCCCCAGTAAAGAACTACTGCTTCTGGCCCAGCAACACTGTTCTGCGGGGATCCATCCAAGACCCCAAACACCTTGGCCTGCCTGACCTCCAGATCCTCCCTCCCTAATAGTACCAAGCGCCCAGTTCAGTCGTCCTGAACACCGAACCATGCCCACGGGGCTGGGGTTGTCCAACTAAATGGCCTCACCGTTCTCCAGGCCCAGGAGGCGGCCGCCCTGTTTGCGCACGCAGCCCGCCACCTCTCTGCTGCGCCTCTTCAAGCAGGGCCCCTTTCCCCGCCCACCTGCTCCCTGTCGGCAAAGCCCCCGGCCCATCCCAGCGGTCTCCTCCCTTAGTCCCTCCCTGTCCCGCTTCCCTCCCACCGCCCCTGGCGCCCCATCGCTGGCCAGGCCCTGGCCAAAGAGCGCCTGAAGCCCCCCGCCCCACACAGCCAGGCGTGCAGGCCTTTCCCATTACCTCGGCACACCCCCCGTCTGTCCCTGCTTTCCTCTGGAGGCTCCGTCGGACCCTCCCCCCGCACCCTGCCGAGCCAGCTCTGGCCTCGCGCCCCGCTCCTGGCGTGCCACCCTTGAGAGCCTTGCCCCGGTAGCCAGGCCGCGATCGTCGTGCTGCACCGCGCACCAGGCCTCCGGGCCAGGAGAGGAAGAAGGGGTGGGGCCAGTTGAAACCG